TTCTTGGACCACTTCTCTTCTCTGTCTACATGGCATCACTAGGTTCTGTCATTCAGAAACATGGCTTTTCATATCACTTTTCCTTGTTTTAATTCTAGCCAAAAAGCCATGTGTTGACTGTGAAACAGTAGACTTTAATTATGTGCATTTATGGTGTAATTACTAAATTTCCATGTCAATCCATGTTAATTTTACCGTGAATAACGTGCTGTCACTTTAATTCAGCGCGTGCAGCACAGCAGAAATAGATTCCGTGCGTAAACGATCGCAGCATGACTGTTGCAGACGCACCGCTCCTGGAGCGCACTGCCGGACCGCAATCGCGTGCAGTGTGAACGCTCTGAGCCCTAACCAAACCAGTTACAGCTCGAGCTCCTCATTTAGCGATATAGGCTACTCCTCAATTTCACGTCCGTTTTCCGTGATGTCACTCCGCACTGTCGCACAGAAATATGTCAACAACTAGACGTTATCGTTATTATCGCAGGAAGACTAATTCTTATCGTGGGGAGAATTTTTACCGGTATATCGCAAATAAGATATCGCCCATCCCTACTACGGCAAGCTCAAATCGCGATTTTATGGCTCTTTCGATTAATCGCACAGCCCTAAACTCAACCTTGCCAAGACAGAACTGCTTGTGGTTCCATCAAACCCATCGTTTCATCACAATTTCACCATCCAGTTAGACACATCAACCACAACTCCTTCAAAAAAAAGCCAGAAACCTTGGAGTTGTGATTGATGATCAGCTGACTTTCTCAGACCACATTGCTAAAACTGCCCGGTCCTGCAGATTTGATTTATTCAACATCAAGAAGATCAGGCCCTTTCTTTCGGAACATGCTTCACAACTCCTTGTTCAAGCTCTTGTTCTGTCCAGGCTGGACTATTGCAATGCTCTCTTGGCAGGTCTTCCAGCCAGTTCTATCAAACCTTTACAATTAATCCAGAACACTGCAGCAAGATTAATTTAATGAGCCGAAAAGAATGCACGTCACACCTCTGTTTATCCATTTGCACTGGCTACCAATAGCTGCTCATGGAAAATTCAAGGCATTGATGTTTGCCTACAAAACCACCACTGGCTATGCACCCATTTACCTAAATTAATTACTTCAGACTTCTGTGCCCTCTAGAAGCTTGCATTCTGCAAGTGAACGTAGCTTTACTGTGCCATCCCAAAGAGGCAAAAAATCACTTTCACACTTTTAAATTAAATGTTCCCTCCTGGTGGAATGACCTGCCCAACTCAGTTCTTAAAAAACAAAACAAAAAAAAAACCTAACACTTGCTTCTCTAATCTTTTTGTATTCTATTTTTTATTTTTATTTATTATAAAATTAACAAAAGTAAAAAAGGCCTCTAACACTAGCTTGCTCTATTCTTTTTCTAATCTATCGGTTTTCTTTTTATTTATTATATAATAAAAAAAAAACCTTGCTACATGTACTGTGCGTTAAGCTAACTGAGACTTGTTATAGCACTTGCATATCATTGCTCTTTTGTTGATTTTAATTGCTTCCATTGTCCTCATTTGTAAGTCGCTTTGGATAAAAGCGTCTGCTAAATTACTAAATGTAAATGTAATATTTTTGTGAAAACCGTGGTATGTTTTTCCAGGATTATTTGATGAATAGAAAGTTCAATAGAACTGCATTTATTTGAAGACATTTTATATAAATAAATAAATGAAATATATATATATAATTTGAAATTATACTTTTTGTATAAATGTCTGGTCACTTGGGATCAATTTAAAGCATTCTTGCTGAAGTATGTATGAATCAATTATGTTTGATGTTTTGATTGCTCTTTTATTAATTGAACTTTGAGACCAAAAAAATGTAAAAATTTATTGGTAAATGGTTATTAGTTTAGTCCTACAAAAGTATTTTTTTATTTTTTTTTGTCACTTTCTGACAGATGACTTGGAGAAACGGAAGCGCCATAGACAGAAGAAAGCAAGGGATGAAAAGAGAAGGGAGAAGAGGATCGAAATTGAGGAAAACAGGAAACACGGGAAATGTGAGAATTTAATTCCTGTTTTTCTGGGAATATATGGCATACATTTTCATGAAAATAGACAAAATGTCTGATTGTAGAACATTTAGCTTAATTCGGGGTGGTGTTAGTGATTTGCCAGGGTGTGATTATTGAATTTATCTTTGTGTCTTCAGATCCAGAGGTGCACATTGGGCTGGAGAACCTCCAGCATTTTCCTGCTTTTGGATCTCCACCTCAGAGCGGCTCACAGGTGCAGCTCCCAGAGTTCCTGCTGGGACCTCTGTCTCCTCTGAGCAGCAGCCCTTCATCAGGTAACACTCATCCTCTCTTGCCCTGGCCTCCAGTGGTTAGTCTCCTGTGCTTATTGCCTGTTTTTATTTCAGATGGAGTGATGTTTCCTAATCTGAGTGAGCACAGTCCATCTCCGAGCGTAGCCAGTGTGGAAGAGGACTTTCACTGCATGTCCTTCGCTCAGGTTTACTCAGACTGCCTAAAGCACTTTGTTTCATGGTTATAACAAAAAAAATGGTCAACTTTGTAGCTTTCATGTGGTGGGAAAATCATTACTAAAATGAAATTTAAACAAATTTTAAATAGAGTAATAAAAACAACGGCATCTTGAGAGTTGTGAGTATCTAAATGTACTATATTTATGTGTGCAGATGCTGAAAGATGGGAAAGCCCGTGTGGATGCCGGGCCTAAAACCACCCCAAAGAAAGGTGAGCATCCTGTCATCTAGGGATGCGCCGATATTTATCAGCCGGTTTTTGATTATTTTAAAGCCTTCAGCATATCGAAAATGGCATGAAAAGGGCCGATACCGATGGTTATTAATTAACTGCATGGAGACGAGTTGCATGTCTGTTGCATAATCCAACGTTTTTCTCTGGGCAAAATTAAATACTTGCCCAAACAAAATAAAATCTGTCCAAAATATAGTTTGTCAGACGGCATAGTACGGCCATATGCAAACGTGACGCTGACGCATCCGACCAGTGAAATGCCCGCTCTCAGCTGTAAATTCATCATAGGTAAGTCGCAATGGCAATGCACCAGTGTTTCTGTGAACGGAGAAAACGGAATAAAACTATATAGGCTACATAAAAAGGAATATATAGGCCTATACACAAAATATATTTCACTTAAATCAGTTTCGGATAATTGTAACGTGCTCCGAAGTTCACGGGGGAAAAAAACCAGACTGCAGAAAGTAGTTTCCTTTATTTTACAAAAGCTTTACAGTTTTGAATGATGTTTTGCTTCTATCTGTATGACAAACCAGCGTTGGTATGATCTTACCCGTAACAGTTGGGAAAACAATGCAGTGATCGCGTCGGTGCCTCACATGCACATACAACAAATTTTTGCTAATTTGACATTGCAGCTTGTTCATTATCAAAATAAAATACAGTTAAAGAAGCATAAAAAGTTACACTGCTCAATTTAAATAGTTTGTAGTACAGTCTGTGCCGTTCAGTGTGACCAGCGCCTCACTGCTGATATAGCCTATATGTGAAGGATGATGTTTTACGTTGATAATGCGAGTGAAGAACAAAGCCTATAGTTTAAATAATAGGTTAGCATCCAGATACTGCGTGAATATTGAAACATTTGGATTTGTGCAGAATGAGAGAGGTAGACTTCAGTTTTGTTTTTAAATTAATTCGTTTTGGCTTGATTATTATATTTAGCCTAAATACAACTTTAGAGGATTTGTTGTGGAGAGAAGGGAACTAAAATAGCCTAATTGGAACAGAGGAACGCAGGAACAGAAACATTCATATACCGATTCTGCTCGCAGTGAACCAATCCTTTTTTTCCCTCTCATTTTTAAGCCCTGCTTTATGCAATTGACCAATATCGTATCGGAATCGGCCAATAGTTGTTTGTTAAAATCGGTATCGGCCAAAAAAAAAAAATCCTATCAGTGCATCCCTACTGTCATCACTTGACTTAACTGTTGGCTCACTGGCTACACTGATTCCTAATAGTGTCATTTAGTAGTGATTTTTAGTGATTTGTATTTTTTTCCTCTACAGCTGACATGTTCCTGGCCCCTCCTGAGGCAGACTGTGATGGAGAGAGTGATGGCTCTGATCGGGTCCCAGTACCCAGTTTCCAAAACTCCTTCAGTCAGGCCTTTGAGCAGGCTTTGTCACAGCTGGACCATGGAAGTCAAACTCCAGCACAGGTTCTACCCATCCCTGGTGAGAAAACTCATTTTCCAACTCCCCTAGAGTTAAACAGTTGAGTTTTACTGTTTTTGAATACATTCAGCCGGTCTCCGGGTCTGGCGGTAGCACTTTTAGCTGTAGCTTAGCATAGATTGAATCTGATTAGACCATCTCGCTCAAAAATGACCACAAAGAGTTTCAATATTTTTCCTATTTAAAACTTGACTCTTCTGTAGTTACATCGTGTACTAAGACTGACGGAAAATGAAAAGTTGCGATTTTCTAGGCCGATATGGCTAGGAGCTATACTCTCATTCCAGTGTAATAATCAAGGAACTTTGCTGCCGTACCATGGGTGCAGCAGGCGCAATGATATTACGCAGCACCTGAAAATAGTCCCCAGCTAGGTAACTTCCAATAAGCCTATTTTCAGGCGCTGCGTAATATCATTGCGCCTGCTGTACCCATGGTACGGCAGTAAAGTTCTTTGATCATTTTTGAGCGAGATGCTAACGGTCTAATCAGATTCAATGATCTATGCTAAGCTACAGCTAAAAGTGCTACCGCCAGACCCGGAGATCGGCTGAATGGATTCGAAAACGGTACAACTCAACTGTTTAACTCTAGGGGAGTTGGAAAATGAGCCTATTTTCCAAAATAGTGGAGTGTTCCTTTTAAAGGGATCATTCACCCACAAATGAAAATTGTCATTTACTCCCCAAACCTGTATGAATTTCTTCTGCTGAACAAAAAAGATATCTTGAAGAATTTAGGGAACCAAACACTTAATGGTCCCCATTGTCTTCCATAGTTTTTTTTTTCCCTATATGGTGGGGTTCATCAGCTCATTTTTTTTTTATTATTATATAAAATGAACACTCTGAAACGGAGCATAAAAGCTTTTTTTTTTTTTTTTAAATCACTTTTGTTGTTTGCCATAATGTTTGTTACCCATGTGACCTTTCTTCTCTCTATTTTATAGATGAGAAAGGGGGTAAGAAGAAGAAGAAAAAGCAGAAGCTTCTGTTCAGCACCTCTATGGTTCACACCAAGTAAACGCTGAAGCCCACCCTTCACTCCTGTTTTTCTACCTTCTGCCTTATTCCTCCCATATGCTTAGGTTTCATTAGGTCCCTCAACAGCAGTTTCCCCTTCTTTTTTTCTTGCCCCTGTTGAATGAGACCCTCTCCAGACGTTCAGTGACCTGCAGGAAGTTCAGTAGCTCAGTGATTGTACAAACCATAGACTCAGTATTATAGATCAGACCCACAGTTGTCCAGTGTTTCTTAAAGAAGGGACATGTGCTGAAATTAAAGAGCTCTACATCAGGTACATTTGACACGGCGCTGTAGTTTAGAGCTGATGCTCCATTATTATCCAAAATGTGGGTGGAAAAAAATGACATGGTTTTTGGTTATGGGTTGCAGTTATATATTTTGGGGGGTCCTGAGATAGCAGTCAGCCAGCTGCAGAAATGTCCCTCCATCATGTCTAACACATTTGTACTTCAACCAAGGTGTTTAAAAATAAATAAAATTAAATTTAGCATTGCTAACAGCAGAAAAAATGTGAAGAACTTGTGGTGAGGATTATATGCATTTGAGTTCTTCTTCCTGTCAGGCACATACACACAGAACTATGCTGATTGTAACACGTTCTTGCTTGTTAATAAGCAGGAAGAAAAACGTGTGGTGGCATTTAAACAAACCAGTTCTGAGCTCTAGTCATGGACTTCAGTCTCTTACCAGCTGTTATCATCTGTCCAGCCTAAGAACTGCCTTTCACAATCAGACCCATTAATAATACGTAAAAAGACATCATTGTTCTGCTGGAAGAATTTAGTGGGTCTTTTAAGCACTTGACTTTGTTAGACCCTCCAACTCTTAGACAGGATTCAGAGCTGCTCATGTTCAATAGTGTTCAGATGTTAGAGGCATCAGAGACCAGCCGACTCCACTGCTTGCTACGTTTTCAGTGAAGAAAATATGTAAAGACCGAGAAAGGCTATATCAGGGGTGCCCAAACTCGGTCCTGGAGGGCCGGTGTCCTGAAGAGTTTAGCTCCAACCCCAATTAAAAAGGCTATATCAGGGGTGCCCAAACTCGGTCCTGGAGGGCCGGTGTCCTGCAGAGTTTAGCTCCAACTTGCCTCAACACACCTGCCTTCAAGTTTCTAGTATGCCTAGTAAGAGCTCGATTAGCTGGTTCAGGTGTGTTTAATTGGGGTTGGAGCTAAACTCTTCAGGACACCGGCCCTCCAGGACCGAGTTTGGGCACCTCTGGGCTATATAAAATGTTGTAGAGGGTTTAATTTTTCTCTTTATTTTATTTTTTTCTGTTGAAACCTGTGATACAGAACCTGCATATAGACTAAGTTGAATGAATAAAGGATTATTATGCACTGGCATTCTGTTTGACTTATTTAGAACCGATTTCATTTAACACTTTTAAAGACCATTCACATTTTTGTGAACATTTACATAGAAATATATTGTTTTCGGCTTTTTTGATTGTAATCTCATAGATGGCTTTGCAATAAAATGTTAAGTACAGGTTTATATTGATTTGGGTGTTTTCATAGTTTGTATGATCCTTGTGTTTGCGATTGTTTTGTGGTTTGAGTAAAATCTTTTATAGTAAAATAATTTATAGTTGCTTAATGTGGATTTTGCACGCTCTGACATGTGTACAACACTTTAAAAAAAAATAAATAAATTGTAGGTTTTCCATGGCTCATCAGCCTAAATAATTGTAAAATAATTATGGATATAATTAGCCGCCCATTTAACAGAAATTGCATTTAAAGACATGTAATGGTCATTCTCATTCATCTCAGTGGCTCACTTAAAAATTCTCATCCCTTAAGACTTATGTTCTCAATTAACAAAAAAAACAGTTCAAGAGAATTTGCTCATTTAAAATATCACTATTCAGTCCTGATTTTTTTTGTACTCCTTTAGATCATCCTCCGCTTAAGTGCTATGCAAAACTTAACTCGAACAGTAAAAATGTACACAACTTTTTTTAAACGGACAAATGTACAGACATTTAAAACCGATTCATGTTTTAAAATTGAGTTAAAATAGTAAATCAATACATTTTATTGAAATATTGAATTTTATAACTATTTGATCATCTAAAATTAGTTAAAAACAAAATAAAGCATTTTAGATGCACACTTTGAATAGAATTTTCAATAAATCAACTTTTTTTTGTCAATGACAAAATACTATGGCATTTCATAAACATTCACATATTCTATTCAGTATTCACAGAGACATTTATTCTTAAGGTCAACGATCAACGGGACTTCCAGTTGATAAAGAAAGCATCATGCTCCTTTTGTTTGCCAAATGCTTTTGATTTTTCATTACACATTTCTACAAAATGGGCAGTTATACGATATGCTGTGTTCTCACAGTATTACCAAAGTCACAGACGCAATTCAATATCAATCACTGGCTCGACTTCCCCACCTCCTCTTTCATGTCAGATCAACTGAGAAACTGCAAGGCTACTTTGGTTTGGTTAATTCACTTTAAACTCGTTAAATGCTTATTAGAAATTGGAAACCTGCACAGTACTAAAGAAAAATTGGATAAGATGGTGTTGCGTTGTGAATAAGAGGTGCGTAGAGGTTTTTAAGGACGTGAAGAGATGCATTTATGTAAATATGGAGCAGCAACAAAAGGATAAAATGGACAGTTCATCATAAAAGGAGCAAAGGTCATGATTTGCCCCAGTTTTACATGAACACACAACGTGTCAGGCGGAGCAGATATGAAAGCCATTAATAGATATATGGCACTAGACGGAAATAATTGAAATAATGAAGGATCAGAAAAATCATTGTGTATTTAAAGCTCCAGGTACTTTGTCACCATGGCAAGAATTGGGGCGCCTGTTGGGATGCCAGGGAAAGGGCCGCTGGATCCAGCAATGTCAATGTGGGAGTAAGGCAGAGGTTTGTCCGAGTCCAGTCCATGCTGTGGGACAAACATGCAGATGGTAAATGTATGTATTTTTACAAAAAAACGTACGTTTTTAATAAATCTTAAACTAATAATACACCCAGTTTGTATTTGTCTACCTTATCCAGTCCAGAAGCCATGATGAGGAAGGCGGCGGGCGTCTGGTGTCCACGTGGTGTGGCGGATGAGGGCAGGTTATTGGACTGCAGGATCTCCTCATACTCAGACTTCCCTTTGTGGAACTCGTAATCCTCCCGACGAATGGTGGACACCTCGAACAGATCTCCCAGCACCTCTCCCGCTGCCATACAAACCGATTTCACACAAATAAAGCTACATTTATGGAAGCAAAATCAAAGGCTTCTAAGCTCTTCTTACCTTTCTGCCACTGCAGAGCGTTTCCTGAGCGGTGAGCAGCACCGTTATCCATTATGATCTACAGGGACAGATAATAATTATATGTTTGATTTATATAGTGCCTTTCCCAAGCTCAAGGACACCTCACAATGACAATAGCAAATAAACAATCATTTCGTACATAATCACTTAGGTGGACAATTGGCCAAGTCCAAGACATGCGTGATTACAGTTGCGTATCGTAATAGTAGTGGAAAAAATCACATACTAACAGAGAACCATAACGGTTTAAGAAGAAACACATTATGACCGGTAGTATTGGTTGTACAGATACTTGAGTTTAGACTTAAATTCATGCAGTGTGGTTATTGTCTTAAGAGACGGGCAATGAGTTCCAAAGTTTAGGAGCAGTAACAGAAAGATCTGCCTCCCATAGATGATGGGCGAAGTCTCGGTATACAAAGAAGGTCACCTCCAGATGATCGAAGTGGTCGAGAGGGAATATAAGGAGAAAGTAAGTCAGAGAGATAAGTAGGAGCAAGACCATAGATTCACTTAAAGATAAGCAGAAGAATTTTGTAAATAATATGAGAGGACACGGGTAGCCAGTGGAGGTTAAATAGAATAGGAGTGATATGAGCAGACCGTTTAGTGCAAGTTAACATTCTCGTAGCAGAATTTTGATAAATGCATGTACTACTGATTCAGCATCTTTTGGGCTGACAAAGGAATGGAGTTTGGCAATACGGTAAAGTTGAAAAAAATGCAGCTTTAGAGAGTTTACTAATATAAGCACCTAGGTTTAATGAAGAGTCGAGAATGATACCTAAGTTTTTGACAGTGGCAGACAGAGAAATTGATGTAGCTTCAAAGTCAAGTCTGGGGGCATTAGTTATTTTGTTAGAGCTGGGGGACCGAGAAGTAAGATTTGAGAAACAAAAAATTGGAGTTTAGCCAGGTCTTTTACTCGTTGATGCATGACGATAGAGATGCAGTCTGGTGAATAGAGTCAGGTTGGCAAACTATATATCTGAATATCGTCGGCATAGCAATGGTACTGAAAACCATGGCAGGGAATAATTTGTCTGAGGGGCATAATGTACATAAATAATAATGGCCCGATAACTGAGCCCTGTTGAACACCCCGTGTTTGAGTAAGACAGTGGGAGATTTATAGTTCGGCATGGTGATGTAGTACTGTCTGTCTGTCAAACAGGAGGGAAACCAGAATAACGCAGCTCCTGAGATGCAAATCACTGAGAGGTGCAGGAGTAATAATTTATGACAGACAGTCTCAAAAGCTGAGCTGAGATCGAGTAATAAGAGAAAGGAAAGATTGCCAGAATCACCAGAAAGTAGGAGGCCATTAATAACTCTTACTAAAACAGTTTTAGTACTGTGATGTGAGTAAAAACCTGACTGAAATATATCAAACTGATCGTTGATATGAAGATGGAGATGGTCATAATGGAAATGGTTAAAGTACCACTGAAGTGTAATAAACACTGTTTTTTTCCTCAGCCATCAGAAGAGATGTAGGAGTAAGTTGTTGAAGTACTTACAGAATAATGCGGTCCCATGGCTCTGACAGCATGTCCTGTCAGAGTGGCTATAGTGAAGAGATGAGGAGACACTTCCTGCAATGCCTGGAGAAACACACAAGAGCTCTAGATCACCAAAAAGGATAATGTCATATTTAAAATAACTTGTTTTTCATTCCTGTAGCAGATCTAGACAGGTGGAGCTGGGGGAGGTAGAGGGTTTTTGAGGAACTCTGATAGCACACTACAGGGCCAGCTTACAGCGAACACACAACCAGACTATTTAAATGTTGAGCAAGCAATCTCACTAGTCTGATGTTAGCAGATTGCATGTAATGGACCTAATAGCCAACATTATCTGGAATTTCATGACTGAAATGAATATTATAATATATAAAATCATTACTAAACTAAACAAACATTTTAAAATTGTTTTCATTAATTGAAACAAAGATACAATTAAATATACATTTTTGATAAAGCAACACAAATTAATAACTGAAAAATAACAGATAAACATAAATAAAAATAAAACAAATTCAAAGTTGAAATTCAAATCAAAATTCCCAATTCTCACAATTAACAAGTTGCTTATTATCATGCCTATCATTAAAGGGGTCATATGATGCTGCTAAAAAGAACATTATTTTGTGTATTTGGTGTAATGAAATGTGTTTATGCACGAGGCATTTTAGGAGGGCGTGGACGAGTTTTTATAAAGAATATATCTTTGGGTTTGAGACTTTAGTCTTTGCAACTTTAGGGATCTTATCTATTCACGAACAGCTTGTAACACTCCAAAGAGAAAGGAAAACTTGAAATGGCATCATATGACCCCCTTTTAACATATCGGCTGTTTATTAGTACTTATAATGCATTTATTCTACATGACCATATTCTACAGCCCTAATCCTACCCAATACCTAAACTTAACAACTACCTTACTAACTATTAATAAGCAGTAAATTAGGAGTTTACTGAGGCAAAAGTCGTAGTTAATGGTTTGTTAATAGCGAGAATTGGACTTTAAAATAAAGTGTGACCATGTATATGAAGATGTGCTGTTAGCTCCAACATAAGCATCTATGCAAAGTCAACATTATATTTTTACTTATTCATAAGAGTAATGAAATGTGCTGCTGAAACTCAGAAGGTCTTTTAAAATTATATTCTGAGCAGGTGCTACACACAAGCAAATGAGAT